GCAGCTCCGCCCACCACCACCACCACCACCATCCAAGGCCGGAGGGCGAGGGCGAGGGCGAGCGGCTCGGGGGCTGGGTGGATCTGGGCCCGAGGCGGAGGCGGAGGCGGGGGTGGGTGGCTCGTCGAGCTAGTTACCTGCGCGCGCGCGGAGAGGGAGATCTCCGCCGGCTACCGACGACGACGATGCCGCTGGTCACTCGCCGCGGCGCTTGGGGAGTCGGGCAAGGTGGTAGCTGGCGGTGGTGGGCGCGACTCGCTTTCCTGGTGGTGGTGGTAAGTGGAGGCGAGGAGAAGACGGCCGCGGCCGGGGATCCGTGCGCGCAGGCTGTGGACGCGCACGAGGTGGCGAGGCCACGAGGGCCTATTTTTCTTGGGCTACAAGGGTTTCTTTGGCCCATCTCACCTGCCCTGGGCCTTTGGGCCTAATTTTCTACGACCCCAGTCGCCAAGCTTTCCTTGTCAGAATAAGTCCACTTTGACTCCTTAAAGTTACCCGAATCTAGTCCGTAACCCACAAGAATGACTCCTGAACTATTCAAACCAGTGCAATTTGACTCCCTCAGTGGTTTTGGATAACGGTTTTGCTGACGTGGCGATGTTGACTTGGTCTGTGGTATTGACGTGGCGCTTAGGTGGCATTAGAATTAAAAACTCAGTGCGCCCCATTCGCCATTCACACAAAAAAAAAATTGTGGGACCATATGTTATCCCTATCTATCCCTTCTTCCTCCTCCCTCTCTCCCTTCTCTGTCTGTTTCTGCGCAGGATCTGGAGCGACGGCTGCACCGGCGCCGGCACCGGCGGCAGGACGAGGATCGGAGCGGCGGCGGCGGCACTCCTTGCTGTGTGGCAGCCTCTGCTTGCCGGTGGCGTCGTCGTCGACGTCGTAGAGCATGTTGGGGTCGGACGACAGCGCCGCGGCAACGACCGCTTGCTCCATGCGGCGGCGGTGACGGCGGCCACCTGGGTGAGCGGTCTCCAGACCAGCTTCTTGAACCTGTACTTCCTGGTCCCCGAGAGGAACACGACGAGGCCGGCAAGGATGCCCACGGCGCAGATGTCGTACCCCCACTGGCGGCCGACATTGTCCTGCACGTACACTAGCACGGTGATTGTGAGCAGCGCGACGAGGCTGACGAAGAAGTAGAACCAGTTGAAGAATCGCATCATTTTCTTGCTCTCGTCGTCGTCGGACTCATCGAACTGGTCGGAGCCGAAGCCGGAGATGCTTTACTTGAGCCCCCCCCCCCCCCCCCCCCCCGTGCCCAGCGCTGTCAGGTAGAGCACCCTGAGTTGTGTCCCGTTCGTCACCATGCAATTCGCGCTCGGCCCCTTGAGTCGCTGCACGCCGGCGGCCGAAGCCCCAACATGCCGTCGAGATCGTCAGTATCAATGTATCATCAGTTCATCACCCCCTGCAGCATGAGCCAAGATATACAATCAGTATCCATCCGTCATCGAGCACACATTAGCTTGGTTGAACAGAGGAGTAAGAGGAAGACACGAACAGTAGCTTGGACAGCTTCAAAGATGGCGATGGTTAGGTAGCGGCCGAGGTACGTATTGGCACAGTAGCGTGCGGGAAATGGGCCCCGACTAGTGTGGCGCGTTGCTCTAGCACCGCTCCGGCCCTCGCCCCGCCGCCGCCCCAGATCCTGCACCGAAGTGGGGAAAGAGAAACAGAGAAGAGAGAAGGAGGGAGGAGGAAGAAGGATAGATAGGGATGACATGTGGGTCCCACAATTTTTTTTTGTGTGAATGACAAATGGGGCCCACATAGTTTTTAATTCTAATGCCACCTAAGAGCCACATCAACACCACAGACCAAATCAACATCGCCACGTCAGCAAAACCACTATCCAAAACTACTGAGGGAGTTAAATTGCACTGGTTTGAATGGTTCGAGGAGTCATCTTATCCGGTTTTACGGTTGAGGGTTACGGATTAGATTCGGGTCATTTTTAAGGGAGTCTAAGTGGACTTATTCCTTCCTTGTCCGGTGGAGGGAAAAAGTACACCGAAGGTCCCTCAACTTATCATCGAGTTTCAAAATCGTCCCCCAATCACAAAACCAGATATATGACATCCCTCAACTTAACAAAACCGTTTATTTTAGGTCCTTTGGTGGTTTTCACCCCGGTTTTGTCCGATGTGGCGGCTGAGTCAGCATGGGACCCACATGTCAGGATGCCACCTCATCACTTCTCTTATTTCCCCTCTTCTCCCTTTCTCTCTCTCTCTCTTCTCAGGCCAGCGACGGGCGATGCTGTGGGGAAGAGGCCGCCGGGGGGGAGGGGAGAGGAGGAGGTCCGGCGGCCAGCGTCGCGCCGATGGAGGAAACGCCGCCGTCCGCATCCTCGTTGCCACCGTCGTGGCACAGCGTCGCCGAACTCATCCTGGAAGCTATGCGCGAGCACGTAGAGGCCGTAGAAGTCGGTGGGCTGGCGATGGCATCGCACCAAGTAGCCGTACAGCGTCATTTGAGCGACGGTGAACCCCTCTGCCAAGTGGAAGTCCTGCGTCATCGTGATCGACCCCTCCGTGGGGCTCGTCCTCTACCTCGCGCCGCCGTCCACAGAACCTGCTGACTTCGGCGAGCTGTAGTCCTAGACTGACGTCGACGGCAAGGTGCACACATTCCGCATCACCACCATCCCGACATAGCACTACTTCATATGCGACATCGCCGCCCGCACCGCCTCCTACGTCCCTGACTTGGAGAGACGCGTCTTCAACAACTATCTGAGCATCATCGTCGCGCCAGGAGGTGGGGGAAAGTACCTGGCCGTCGACTTCTAGTTCATCGTTGGCGGCGACGAGGCCACCCTCCTATGCTTCTCGTCCGAGACCAGCCTATGGGAAAAGAAGCACGCCAACAACCCCCTGCCCCGCTAGATCTGGAGATTCTTTGACGTCGTTTCCCACGCCGGCAAGCTCTACTGGGTGGACACTGCGACAGGCATCCTCTTCTGCAACCCGTTCGTTGACGAGCTGCACATGGAGTACGTCCCAATCCCCAGGGTCGACCTCCCGCTAGAACACGACGGAGACTGCCACGGCCGTGGCTACTGCGCCGAGAGAGCGCTCGCCTCCCGCCACTGCGTGCAGCTGAGCGACGGCAAGTTCAGGTGCGTGGACATGGGCTCTGCAAGCGATGGTGTTACTACCAAGGTCCCCATGCACACGCAGATTGATCCAGGGACCAAGGTGTGGACTCTTGAGTACGCCGTGAGCTTCGCCGACATCTGGGCCAGCGAGAGCTACAAGGCGACTGGGATGTCGGAGAAGGCCCCGGTGCTCGCGCTCGTCCACCCCAAGAACCCCAACATGGTGTACTTCTTCGTAGAAGTCACCAGCCTGCGCACCACCGACTTCTACGGCCTCTATGTGCTCGCGCACAGCCTCCAGGACGAGTCTGGCGGTGCTGTACCACGGCGGTGACAACGAGGATGCGGACGGCGGCGTTGCCTCCGCCGGCGCGACGTCGGCTGCCGGACCTCCTCCTCTCCCCCCCCCCCCCCCCCCCCCGCAGCCTCCTCCCCACAGCGCCGCCCGTCGCTGGCCGGAGAAAAGAGAGAGAGAAAGGGAGAAGAGGGGAAATAAGAGAGAGGTGGTGAGGTGGCATCCTGAGATATGGGTCCTACGCTGACTCAGCCGCCACGTCAGATAAAACCGGGGTAAAAACCACCGAAGGACCTAAAATAAACGGTTTTGTTAAGTTGAGGGATGTTATATATCTAGTTTTGTGGTTGGGGGACGATTTTGTAACTCGATGATAAGTTGAGGGACTTTCGGTGTACTTTTTCCTCCGGTGGAGTAATAAAGATGAAGTCCAGTTTGACTCCCCAATCATAGGTCGAGTCTAATTTGTATCCCTCGAAAGAACGGTTATAACGGCTTGTTCAAGTATTAAAACCAATACGCTCTCTCGGCACTGTTGAACAACGTTTTTCGCTGATGTGGCACTTAGGTGACATGTTGACGTAGTCTTCGTCCTAAGTAACGCGGAATCACACTTGGCAAAGAAAATAAAAAAACTAAATGGGACCACATGTCATTGATAATTTCACAAAAAAATAAGAAGAATCTGTGGCCCCCCTCTCTCTCTCTCCCTTCTTCCTCCTACCTAGCGAACCTCATCGAACCCAACCACGCTAGTCTATCACTGACCTCCGTGTCGGAGCTCTATGGCTCTCAGTGAAGAGATAGAGGCAGACACGGAGAAAGGAAGGTAGCGGCCAGCGAACCCCATCGAGCTCCCTCTGTCGTTGACCTATGCCTCAACATTAGAGCAGCATTGACCGATGGATGACGCTTCGAGCAATGCAGTCCCCATCCTAGCGCTCCTCAGGCTCCCCGCCACTACTCCCACAGCCCATGGGCCAATAGACGAGGAGCAACACGATGTGGTCACCGTCCATGGGGAAGAGGAAAGCAACACGATGTGTTGTGGCATGGAGAAGCTTAGGGTCGCCCAGCACTACGGTCGGCGTGGTTGAGGTCGCGAGCACTGTGGTGAAGCTCCGTCACCGGTGCGCCACTGCCATTTTTTCTTCCCCTCCTACGGCTGAGTTCTCTCTCCCCGCCGCCCTAGGTGCCTTCTTCTCGTCACCTCCCCATCATCGCTCTCTCTCCACAGCTGCAAGTAACTCTGTATGTTTATATTTTTATAATAGTAGATGTACAGAAATAGAGTTATATGCCCAGTTGAACTTTGGTTCGCCCAGTAATGCAGTTTATTTTCTTCGTGCAACAAGCACACAACACATGTACATAACCATTTTGTGCGTGAAGGTGTTGGTTTTTTTTTTTCATTAATGCATGCAATGCTGTCTAGGACATGTTACATGTATGTACATTCCGATCGATCAAGTTGGTTGTACAGAGTGAATCACGAAGAATTGATTCATAAATTTTGGATCACCATATATCGAGCGCAAATTCCTACCGGAAACACATAATGATGATCGATACGGAGTATGAAACGGATGACACACATCACAGAAAACGGAACAGCACATCACATATAATTAATTAAGACACCAGCTAGGCCGATCTCCTGCTGGAAGTAGCCCAGAAATGATCACGACGGTAACTTTTGCCGCGCGCTAACACAACGTTGTTAACCCCTGTTCTTCTGAGTGACGATGAGTTAATTAACTAGAGATCTCCATCAGAGTATCCCATCGAACGGGGGCTCAGGTCGGGCATGGTGGCGCCGCGCAGCAGGTGATCCCGGAACGCCACCCCGATGACGGCGAGCGCGTCCTCCGCGCTGCCGATGTTGGCGCGCTCCCTCAGCACGCCGGTGAACGGCCCCCCCCACGCGCCGCCGCCGCTCCTCCTCCACCGCGTCAGCTCCTCCCACATGGCGTCCCAGTGCTCGATGTACGGCAGGTGCTCGTCGGCGACGCGGGCCCCCAGCCCGCCGAACAGGAGGGTGTCCATGACCGGCCGGAGCCGCTGCGCCTCGCCGATCGCCACCGTGAGCGTCGCCAGCGCCCGCTTCAGCGCCGCCTCGCCGTCGCCGCCGGCGGCGGCGGTGGCCGGGTCGTAGCCGGAGAGCACCGTGGCGGCGCGGTTCGTGAAGGGCATCGAGATGGGCAGGCCGCGCAGGTTGGCGACGCCGCCGACGAGGTCGGCGTAGGTGTTCCCGAACGGGAGGCGGGCCGCGGCGAGCCCGAGGGCGTCGAACAGGTGCCCGTTGCCCCGCAGCGCGTGCCAGTGGCCGCTCCGGTTGGCGAAGCCGGCGGCGTGGATGGTGTCGACCCTCATGGCCAGCGTCCCCGCGCCGCTCCCGTACTCCAGCAGGTCGACCATGATCAGCTTGCCCCTACTCGTCGCCGCCGACTCCACGGCGACTTGCCCTCCGCCGGCGAGCAGGATGAGCGGGATCAGAAGGACGAAGAAGAGCGCGGCCATGGCGGCGACGGCGAGGCGAGTGCGCGCGGCGCGGCGTCGTACGTGGTGCAACCGCCTCTGCATTGCAAGAGAGGCGATTTTTATCGACGGTAAGATCGAGGCGGACGGGTAGTAACTAGTAAGCAGGTGCCGCGCGCGATCGGCGTGAGCGAGCGAAAATTTCTGGTTTATCGGATCACCCGGTACGAATGATTTCGGTTTCTCGTGTTTTGAATTTGGCAGAAAATTGTTTGAACTTGACCAAATTTAATTTAAAAATTCAAATTATTTTGGACCAAAATTACCGATTTTCGGCCATATCGGTGACCCTGATAGAAATAGCGAAATCGAAAAATTGAACCCTGCCGGGAATCGCTTGACCGGCGAGGTGAAGAGTAGAGAGGTCCTCGTCAACGCTCCGGCGAGACGGTGGGGGGCAGGGCGGTGCCGGGAGAGAAAAAGGTTGCAAAGATTTGCAGGTGGTGACACACACATGATCTTTTGGTGTGTTTGCTGTGCCAGGGGCTAACTGAAATTCATACTGCTGTGCCTGTGCTGATCGTGTTTTTTTAACTTTACGCAGCTGAAAGTGGGACAGACTTGCAGGCGGTCAAGGATGGAACATCTCCAGCAGCGGGATGCCGAACCAAGCTAACCGTGATCAACTCACCACCTACAGCAATGGCCGATACAGAATTACAGACATTCATTCAGGCTGTGTGTTAGATCAGGGGTGAAAAGTTTTGACGTGTCACATCGGATATACGGATACACATTTAAAGTATTAAACATAGACTAATGACAAAACAAATTACAGATTTCACATGTAAATTGCAAGACGAATTTATTAAGCCTAATTAATTCGTCATTAGCAAATATTTATTGTAGTAACACATTGTCAAATCATGACGTGATCGTGATTAGGCTTAAAAGATTCGTCTCGCAATTTGCACGTAATCTGTGTAATTAATTTTTTTTTCGTTTATATTTAATACTCCATATATATGTCCAAACATTCGATCTAACAGGGTGAAAAATTTAGCCAGAGGATCTAAACAGACCCTCGGACATGTTCCCATTCCTCGGGAAACTGCTTTAATCACCCATTCCTCTCAGAAACTTTGGATGGGACACAAAGTAGTAAAGAGCTTTAACTGGCAGGAAAATCCCTTAAGCACCTATGTGCAGTTGGGAAATAGATCCCCTGACTTTATGCAGTCTACAGTTGTGTCACTGGCAGGGCCCACATGTCAGTGGCACAACTGCAAATTGCACACTAGAACTAGCCACCACATGTTTGCATGTGGATTCAGATATATCCAGGTGAGAAAAACAATGTCACTAGGAGAAATTATAGCATGTATCAGAGCATTTCCAACAACCTCTCCAAATTGAACTCTCCAAATACCCATATAGCAAACTCTCCATCCGATTTGGCTAGCCAAACTAGTTGTTCACTCCAACAACCTCTCCATCTACCCTCTCTACTTTGACTCTATGACATCGGGACCCATATGTCAGCCTCTCCCTTCTTCTTCCTCCTATTTCTTCCCCTCTTCCCCACCAAACTCCTCTTTTATCCCTTTCTTGGTTCTTCCTCCTCTCCTCTGCTCTTGTACGCCTGAGATTGGGAGGGGGTGGCCGGCGCATGGTGGTGGGGGGTTAGCGCAGGGCGGCGCGCTGGGGAGGAGGAGTCCAGGGCGCCGGTGGAAGGAGGCTGGGGCCGGACGGCGTGGTGCGCGGCGGTTCGATGGCTGAGTGCGGCGGCGCGGCAGGGCATGGCGCGCGGCGGCGGTGTAGGATCGAGATGTCGACTAGAGGGGGGTGAATAGGCGATTTAAAAACTAAATGACACCTAAACAAAACTAACCTAAGTTGCTAGGCTCGGTGAGGGTTAAGTCTAACTAAGTAACTAAGTTATGTTTTGCAAACCTAGGGTGATAGTGGCTCAATTAATTCTCTAGGAAAGTAAATCACACTCCTATGTCAATGTTTTGCAATCCTAGGGTGATATGATCTCAAGTATGTCTCTAGAAATATAAATTGCACAAATGTAAATGCGACAATCAAATGAGATAAGGAGACAAGAGATTTTTCACCGAGGTTCGAAAACTCGCCGGTTTCCTACTCCCTGTTGAGGCGAGCCCAACTCCACCGCTCAACCATGAAGCCACCGCACGCCCCCTTCGTCAAGGGGTGGGCAAGGTGGAAAGCAGGCCCACGGGGAGGACTACCCAAGCCTCGATCACTCGTGGTAGTTCTTCCTTCACTCCGAAGGTGGTGAAATCCAAACCACTCACAAACCGGCACCGGGCCTCCTCCACAATCTTCTCGGAGAGGTCACCGGGCAACTCCTCCACAAGCCGTCTAGGAGGCGGTAACCTCCAAGAGTAACAAGCGATGGCGCGGCTCGGAGATGATCAAGTGCCACACTAGCTCTACAATGGAAGCAATTGCACTTAACTCTTGGCTAGAACAACCCTCAAACACACTAGAAGGATGAACACAAAGCTCAAGTGGGTGTGTGAGAGATGAAAGGGGTGTATGCAATTGAAGTGGTGCCAAGAGAGTCCCCTTGCTGCTGGAGAGGGAGTATTTATACTCCCACCAACCAAAACTAGCCATTGGGGGAGAAATCCCCTAACTCTGTGTACTGCCGCTCTGACCGGAGGTGTGTGGCCGGTCAGACAGTGCTACTCTGCAACGGCTAGAAAACTAGCCGTTGTAGCCCTGTTAGAGGGCCCCATTAGCCTGGCCGGTCAGACCGCAATTGAGTGGCCGGTCAGACTGGCCTCGGCTTGGTCAGACCGCCCTCAGCTCGGTCTGACCGAATATGGCTTCATCGGCTCTGTATCGGCCACCTTGAGCAACACCATCCCAGCCTCCAGGGGGCCGGTCTGACCGCACAAGTGTCGTCAGTCAGACCGACCTTGTGCGCCGGTCGGACCGCCCGCTTGGGGCCGGTCAGACCGGACAGGGCACGCCGGTCAGACCGTCACTAGGTGGCCGGTCTGACCGCCCCTGGTCAGGCCAAAACACAGTGAAACTGCGTGTGTTGTGAAAAGTGTGTGTGTGTGTGTGATGAAATGTGAGCACAAGTCTAAATGCATAATGACCTAATGTGGCAATTAAGATCATCTCTTTGCTAGGTCATTACCCCTCTTAATAGTACGGCAAAGCTATAAATAAACTAGCACAATTTTGATCGCCCAACGCCTCGATCAATTTAAAAAGAAAAACACTAGTTAACCGTCTTCTATTCCTTTTGCTTTGCGCCGTTAATTTTAATCCATCGATAATCATCCATGCGCACACATAATATGAATCTAACTTAAAATATATAGCTCAAAGACAACAGTTAGTCCACAATTAGTGCTTGTCATTAATTACCAAAATTAACAACGGGGGCCTAGATGCTTCAGGCAGGGCGCTACGCGGTGGGGCGGCGTGTGGCGGAGGCGGCGCAGAGGGCAGCGTCGGCACAGCCGTGCCCGGCTGCGCGCCGGCCGGCGCAGCGGCCGCCTGAAGGCAGCTTGTCGGCGTCGAGGAAGGGGGCGGAGGCAGGAGTGAGGGGCGCCGACGGTCGCGGCGAGCGAAGGATGGCGGCTGGCCGGCGAGCGGAGGCCGGTGGCTGCAGCGCCGCCTCGCTGCAATCCGCCGCCCTGCCACCGCCGCTCGCATGGGAGAGGATGCGCGCACGGATGGCGGCCTCGTCGTTGTCGTCGCCGTTGTCCACCATCACAAGGGGTGGCCCTCTGCTCCTCGCCGGCCTTGCCTGCTCCTCCGCTGCCTCATCGCTGTGTCTCGTCCACGACACCTCCGCCTCCACCGATGATGACTACTTCTTGTCGGACGACGTCCACGATAGCGCCTTCCTGATCCAGTCCTCCTCCTCATCGGTGGCGCGCCAAGGAAGCCGAGGCAGAGAGAATGCTGAGAAAGAGAGGGGAGAGAAAAGTATGGTCATGGGTCCCACAATCCCAAGGTTGGCGAACCAGTTTTGGCTGGCCAAGTTTGGCCAGCTAGGGAGCCCATTTAGCCAGTCAAATAGCTTGGAGAGTGGAATAGCTAGTCTGTTGGAGCTCGTTTTTTTTTTTCAAAATTACCAAATTTTAGCTTGGAGAGTGAGATAGCTATACTGTTGGAGATGCTCTCATGAGACGAGAAAGACAACGGTGTGGGGGCTCCTCATCGCGGCCGGATCAAGGGGGCGTGCGGTGGCGATGGAGGAGAGGGCCACACTAAGGGGAAAAGGAAAAGAGAATGAAGGTATTATTACTTGTGATTATCAATCAAAAATTGAATTGTCAATCTTAAACTTAGAGTTGATTTTGAGGTTTTTTTTATCGAAGTTTATTTTTTAACCTTTGATTTAAATCGTTAAGAACACATATATAGAAGTTTTATTCACAAGTTACATATCAGTTACATATTGTTGTTACATGCAAGTTTATATTACACTATAGTTATACTATATTTACATTTGATTCTTTTTTTTAAGGAAATCTGTCGATAAAATATCGCAAAATCTATTTCGAGAGGCATCTCGATTTAGGCTTAACGAGCGACGCGGACAATTACGTGAGAAGTACTAATAGCGCTACAGACATGCATGCAAGTAGTTTTTGCTATTAGGTTATACATTTTTTTTCTTCTTATGAAATTTTCTCTTAAATTACTTATCCGATCTATGATCCGATTACACCGTTGTGTTCGTAACAATTAAATCTTTACAACAAGATCTCACATGATTATATTTTGATGAAAAATCACAAATTACTTTTATAACATGTCTAAATTACTTTTAGATTCCACTAAGTTACTTCTTAGACATACAAAAGTAAATTCAGTAAAGGCTAAAAATAATTTACATATATTATAGAAGTAACTTAGAACAAAACAAATGTAACTTTGGCATGTCATTTGAAATAAATCCGTTGTAGAGATAAAAACATGACTCTATCTAGAAATTAAATTAATCAGCACAAATTATAAAATTAACTAAAAACAATAATGAAAGTAATCACCTCAGAGCATTATGAATGTATAGGAAGTATTTTAATCAAATCTAAAAGTAACTTATATATGATAATTATATATATGATAATTTGTTCAATGAAAAAATGTATTAATTAAATTTACTTTCTTTTTGTTATAAGTTAACTCTATAATATATGTGAATTACTTTTAAGCTTTACTGAATTTACTTTTGTATGTCTAAGAAGTAACTTAGTGAAATCTAAAAGTAATTAAGACATATCATAAAAGTAATTTGTGATTTTTCATCAAAATATAATCATGTGAGATCTTGTTGTAAAGATTTAATTATTACGAACACAACGGTGTAATTGGATCGTAGATTGGATGAGTAGTTTAAGAGAAAATTGTGTTTGAAGTATAGCTACCATTAGCTGTGTAGTGATGTCTATGAAATATGTAGTAAAATTTTAACCGGTGCTTGCCGGTAGGTGTTGGCCTGTTGGGTGCGTAACAAAAAGTGCGTGACTGATCAACGAACCAATCACATTCGTTCTTCTCCACCCAGTGCTACAACAACCTATAAAACCTTCTCCTCCTCCGCACGTACACATCCAGAATGGCGCTCTTTCTGCCACTACTAGTGGCGGCGTCGTTGTTCTCGCCAGCAGCAGCGCTGCTCGCCGGCGGCGAGCATGGCGTCGTCGTCGTCGAGCCGAGGCAAGTGGAGATCATGTTCGACCTCGCCACGCAGTCATGGTACCACGAGCTCTACAGGCCCCTCAAAGCCGCGCTCACCGACGACGGGGCCGGTCCGGAGCTCATGGGCCACGCCGTCGTGGACCTGCTCGACGACGACCAGCCGCCGTCGAAGCAGATCACGGTCCGCCTGTTCGCCAGCGGCGGCGGCGGCGACGAGGCGAAGCTCCTCGTCGCGGAGGACGACGCCTACGTGGCCGGCTTCGCCAACCGGACGGGCCACTGGCACACGTTCCGCGGCGGGCGCTGCCACCACCCGGTGATCATCCCCGCCGGCGGCGCGGCGCCGTGCACGGAGCTCCCGTTCGGGGGCACGTACCGCGAACTCATCGGCGGCGTGGCCAACCTGCGCGCCGTGCCGCTGGGGAGGGCGTCGGCGGAGAGCGCCATGCGGGTGCTGTCCCGCTACGACCCGGCGACCACCCCGGCCGCCGACGCCAAGATGGTCGTGGCCAAGTTCATGGTGATGGTCACCGAGCCCATGCGGCTGAAGGCCGTGTCGCGCGCCGTCGGCGGCCGGTGGGAGGAGGAGAGCTACCTGAGCTCCGACGAGGCCAAGTACGTGCCGTACTGGGGCGAGATATCGGCCATGCTGGTGGAGTGGAACAGCACCGGCCGGTGGGGTGAGCTCGGCCCCCGGAGCAAGATGGACAGGGCGCGGTGCCCGCGGCCCGCCGGATGCGAGGACGACGGCGGCGACGGCGACGACGGCGGAGGCAAGCTATTCATGATATAAGATTTCATGATTGTATATGCACGGTCTGGTCTGATCGGTTCATTGTCGGCACTTCCATAATCTGGAGTGATTAGGTTGATCTGCACCTGTGTCTCTGTGTGCTCTGCTGCTAATTAATAAAGTCTCTGCTGTGTTTTGGTTGATCAAGTTTGCTTAATTACTATTGTTGCTCTAATTTTACAAGCTGTAATGGAAGAAGTTAATTAAACTTGGTCTTGCCAAAGATGTAGAATGAACAAATTAAATGGGAGGGAGAGGATGGATACAGTGGCCGTTAGATCTAGTATGCTCGGTCCAGATTAAGGCAGCAAGCAGAGATGGGATATTAACTATATACTCTCTGTCCCATAATATAAGAGATTTTGGAGGGATGTGACACTTTATAGTATTATGAATCTGGATAAAGTGCCTGTCCAGATTTAAAGTATCACATCCCTTCATAATCCCTTATATTTTGGGATGGAGAGAGTATTGTTAAAGTATTAAACTCGTGAGAACAAGTTAACCTTAGGACATGTTTGACGTATAATATTTGAATAGGTTTTAAGTCAGGTTAGCTTCACCGAGGTATATATAACACCTCTTCCACAATGCAAGGAGGGTGTGTTAAGCTAAGCCGCACCCATCTTTTACCATTTCACCTTTTAGTAAGATGAGATAATTAAATTAAGTTGCAGCACATAATAGTGATTTTTTTTATTTTTTACGAGTGATCCTTAGGGCTAATGGGATCATATAAAGGATCAGTATAAGGATCACTCTATAATATACATGTAGCCTTAATAGAGGGGACTTAATACGTCCACCTATTTTCACATCATCACAAATTTGTGTCGGCTTTCCTTGTGAGTTGTGACAGTGAGACTGTGTGAAAAGCAAGCTATAAGGGGTGCTTTACTAACTACTTGGCGGAATGTTTGGCTAGAAAGGAATAGGAGGATTTTTCAAAACACCCCTTGCTCGGCAAGTGAAGTAGCTCATTTTGTAAAGCAAGACTTAGCAAGATTTCCGAAAGACGGCCTTTAGACCACCTTGAGGTTCTTTTGATTGCTTGAACTCCTATCCCTTCAATGGGATTGTAAATGCTTTTGGTTTTTTCCTCCTTTCAATTAAATTCCAGTAGTTCTCCTGCCGGTTCTGCCAAAAAAAAAAAAGACAGTGGGACTGTGCGAGTGGCCACACGAACCAGCAGAATCACACATACAGCTCGGGAGAACATGAAGGGCTATAGCTAGCTTAGGTTTCCTCACTTCCTCTGGCCAATTTCACTGTGCCGCTTTCATTGATGATTATTAGATCATGGTTGTCTCATTGGTGTTCACCGATGGATCAGCTTCCATTGAGTACAAATTAATTTGCATCATATTATCTCAAAATTTTTCAATACGAACTGCCCTTCTCAATTTATATCAGAGAATCAAGTTTTTTTAAAAAAAAATTGAAGAAGCAGGAGCTCCTCTACTAAATTAGGACGAATAATTTGGTCTAGAAACGAAGAGGAGACAGCGCGGTGAAAAGACCGGCAGCTGCCTCACGCGCGGCGCACCGGGATATTTAACTTTTTGCTACACTTTCATAATAGAGTAAACTATACCCACAATACATAATTTGGTAGCTGTGTGTAATTTGGTGCAAGAACATGAGAAATGAGCTAGTGCCTTTTATAATAGAGTAAATTGCACCCACGGTACATAGCTTGGTAGGTTTGTACAATTTGGTGAAAAACATGACAATGAGCGTTTTAGTGCAACGACTCGACAGATGGGTATAATTTAGTATAAGAAGTTTATAAGTGATCGTATAAATACAACAACTTTCAAGGTAGATACGATTTTGATACAATAAGTTAAGAATTTATATGATAACTTAATTATTTGGTGTATTTTTTATACATGTTTAATTTTTAAGTACTTATTTTGACAATTTACTAGTGTGGATTTGTTTAAGCATATTTATATTTTTATCGTAACAACTAATAACTGAAAGTCAATATAAGTGGATGTAGAAATTATTATATATATTTCGGTTGAGATTTAAAAAGGTGAAGGAAACAAACATTATTAAAGGTAATGGGATGTAAATTGGATGTGCAACGTAATTTTTAAAGACTAAAATCAATATTATGATGTAATATCCGTAGGATTGCTGTGTAATGGTATATTGATATCGTGAAAAAAAAACTCACCTAAGATATACTTAACTAATACTTAACTAAGTTGATGCACCAAAATACTAATAACTTATCAAGTTCTTGTACTAGAATACACCTGCTTTTCAAGTTGTTGCACTTGGACGTTCAATTCTCAAGTTTTGCACTATATCACGCACACCTGCCAAGTTATTGAATCGTATGTGCAATTTATACTCTAATAGGTCCTCATATGTGTGTGGATCTAATGGTAAATTTTTAATGGAAGTAGCTATATTTATGGCGCCATATTTTTCACCAAAAGTTAGTCGGCATGTATTTATATTGTAAGGCACTAAATTACATATGTAATTTTAGTGTATTTACAATGTAAGTCCCAAAATTACATATGTAAGTACTAAAATTACATATGTAAGTCACAAAATTACATACTAATTACATATGTAAGTAGTGTGTAAATAGGGTGTAACTACTGTCTAAATATACTACTAATATATACTAATTACATATTTATACTTTAATTACATATGTGTTTCGCTGGTCGGTACAAATACTCATACTTGATCGAGTGCATGCAGTGAAGAAAAAAATAGTAGCAAAGTTCTCCAGTAGACCGCTAATTAGCAACCTGTAACCTATGAAGCACAACTAGTTACGCGTAATTAAGTATGCGAGCACGAATCCTATGACCGATCCAATGGCTCAACAAGCGACTGTAATCAACCAGAAAATGTGTCGCCAAAAATTTAGCAAAACCGTTTTTAATTACCACGTTAATAAAAAGTTTAATTATTCCCGGCGCGCTTGCCTCCGGGCTCCGGCGCCGCTCACCTGCCAAGCCACTGGACCGCGCTATAAAACCGCCGTCGCACTCTTGCGAACCCGAGCCACTGTGCTGCGGCTTGCACGCCTTCCTCGCCATGGCCACCGCGCTCTCCGTCTCCCTCCTCCTGCCGCTCCTGCTTCTTCTCCATCTCGCCGGCAACCTCCCCGCGGTCGTCGTCGGCAAGCCGCACATCGAGGGTCCCCCGGGGCCCGAGATGATGATGGTGGATCTGCGGGACTACGGGAGCGGCGTGGGTACCTTGGCCGTGAGGATGGACGGCCTCTCCGTCGCCGGCTTCGCCAACCGGAGCGGCCACTGGCACGCCCTGCGAGGCAACGAGCACCTGTTCCGCGTGGCGGCGGCGACCCCTCTCCCGTTCGGCAGCAGCTACGGCGATCTCGTCGGCGGCGTCAAGAACCTGCCGGACCTCCCCTTGGAGGAAGACCCGGCCACCGTGGTGATCTCCGCCTACGACCCCGCCGCCGCCGCCGCCGACGACGACGACGAGGTGGAGCTCAAGCGGGCGCTGGCGACGCTGACGGTGGTGATCTGCGAGACGCAGCGGCTTCGCCCCGTCATGGACACCGTCCTGGCGACGGGCGGCGGGCGCCGCGGGGCGGCTCGCGTCGCCGCCGAGCACCTGCCGTACATCGAGCACTGGGACGCCATGTGGGACGAGCTGAAGCGGTGGCGGAGGACCGGCGAGTGGGGCGGCGGGCCGTTCGCCGGCGAGCTGCGGGAGAGGGCCAAGATCGGCAGCGCGAAGGAGGCGCTCGCCGTCATCGGGTGGACCTTCCGCCATATTCTGCTGCGCCGCGATGGCTCCATGCCTGAGAGGAGGACCGAGGACGTGCCACGCTATGGGACATTCGTCTGACCTCTAACTCGCGAGTATGACGTTGTAGTAGCGGCAAGTTTATATCGTTGACGTGCGTGCTGTTTACAAGAGCAGATCAGGTGGCTATAGCCTATATATTGCCTTGATGAATTTTTTTGAGAATTAATATTATTTTTATGGAAAATCGCAAAAGTAGTGGCCAATCGGGGAAAATCGCAAAAGTAGGTCCCTGTCGAACGGGTGCAATTCGATAGGGCACCTATCGAACGACGGGCAGTCGACAAAGCCCTGTCGAACGGCTGGCGTTCGACACGCTCACTTGTCGAACGGAGGGAATTCGACAGGGCCCACCACCCGGCGCCGCGAGGCCTGTCGAACCGGGGGCGTTCGACAGGGCCCTCCACCGACCCTGTCGAACAATGGGCGTTCGACAGGCCGGCTTAAAGCCCCGTCCACCCAGGCCGCGAGTTCGATTTGTTTGAGGACCACATCGCCAGCCGCCGCCGAGAGTCGCCACATCGTCGGCGTGAGCGCCGGAGGGAGCGAGGGGAGGGGATAGCAGGCCAGAGAGGAGGCTGAGGAGGCGCCGGCCGGGAGGAAAGGGTTGGTGACGCCCTCCAGCAGTGAAGTTAAGGTATACATTAGTAATCCCTAAGTACAATGCATATGAAAGTTTAATAAAAAATTGGTTTAAGAGTTGTTAATTGTTTCGTATTGTTCGATGTTAGTATGTATGGTTAGCACATATTTGTTATTGCTAAATGTTGGTAGAGGTATTTAAGTAATTGTACGGTTAAATTAGTTCTTAGTTAGTACATATTATTGATATGTTGTGTGTTAAAATAGGTACAAAGGTGTTATATTTTATTTGGATTATTAAACTAGTTGTTTGTTACTAATAGTTGTAAATTAGTACACGGCAATATAGTATAAGTTGTAATAGGGTAATTATCGAATGATTAAATGATTAAACGTGAGACTATTTGTCATGTTTTATCAGGATGTCAGGTGATATGCCCATTCGTCTGTATTATGGCGATGCTCCTATACAAATATGTGATAGCGGGGTGGATTTGACTGTATATGTCTTCCATGATACTAGTCTGAATGCACCGGAGCATATGGGTTTGAACGACGTGTTAGGGTGGTTGTATAATATATTTGGGGTAGATCCAGTGCACGATAAATTTGTCATAAATGCCGTGTGGCCAGTGAGGGGTCAACATGGATGGCAGTGGAGAGTAGTGGAGGTTGCGTCAACTGGGAGTTGGAGGAAGTTTGTTAGTAAAGTAAGGGAGAAAGGCTATAGCCTAGCAATAGTGGTGTAGAAGACAACATGTGTTGATCGATCGGGGGAGTCAAGTCATGCCGTGGTGGAAGAAACTCCGTTGGAAGGTGGACAAGCTGAAAATGTTTGGCGGACTGAGCAAGGTCGAGGGGAAGAAGTAGTAGAGGGTAATACACAAGGAGAGGTCATTGTTCGTGGTACTAATCGTGAGGCCAACGACTCGGACGATGAAGAACCGGATTCGCCTATGCGTGTTGATGCAGCGGAGGAGAATAAGGCGGTAGTGGATCAGATGGAAGTGGAAAACGAGGAATACCTTGCGCTTGGTGGAAGGAGAAGATACAACACTGTAGGACAACAAAACTAACATACCCGATGATTGGACGACCATATCAATGAGTCGTATGAAGGTAAACGATGGTTTAGATGCCCACTGGTGTTATGATAGTAAGCAGGTGAAAGTTGGACAGATGTTTCATGACAAAGGTCACTTACAAGATGCGGTGAAGAGGTGGGCATTTGTCCAGAAGCGTGAGTTCAGGGTGAAGGTTTCAAATAGGACGACGTATGACGTGAAGTGCATACAGGGTGGATTTCCTTGGAGAGTGCATGGTTACAAGCCACAACATGACACTTTATGGGTAGCTTCGAGGGTTGAGCAACATACGTGTTTGTTGGAGAATACCCGTCTGGTGCACAGAAACCTGACAGCGGCATTTGTTGCACAAATGGTATATTCAAAGGTGGTTAGAAAAACATCTTTGTCCCCTTTCACCATAATGCATGACGTTGAGAAAGAGTACGGATATGAGATATCGTACGACAAGGCTTGGAGGGCAAAACAGAAAGCATTGGAGATGAGGTTTGGAACTTATGAGGATTCTTATCACAATCTTCCCCCACTATTGGAGGTGATGCAGGCAAGAAACCCGGGCACACACATGGCTATTCTCGATGAGGTGAATGAATATGGGGAGAATGTTCTTCGTCGGGCTTTCTGGTCATTTGGGTGCATGATAGAGGCCTTTAGAAATTGCATTCCTTTGCTCTGTGTTGATGGCACTTTCATGACAGGCAAGTACAGAGGAACAATTCTAACCGCGATCGGAGTCGACGCGGATAGCCATGTCGTTCCTGTTGCTTTTGCATTTGTTGAAAGCGAGAACACATCAAGCTGGCTATGGTTTTTGCGGCACATTAAAATGTGTGTTGTTGAAAATAGACCAAATGTGTGTGTTCTACATGACCGACACGCCGGTTTGCTATCAGCGATACAGAAGCTTCAAGAAGATGTCACACAGTCCGTGCCATGGCCAGATTTACATAGCAGACGGAACTCTCTCTTCTTTTGTGCCACAATTCCCTCGGGAACCTGTGCTTTATTGAAACTATGACAAAACTCTGTCCAAGTAACTTCTGCCCCAGTTGGACGGGTCACCATGTAGTTGTCCCACCAAATAGAAGCGGGACCTTGCAGCTGGTGTGTAGCAAAAGCAACCTTCTCTTGCTCGTTGCATTGCAAAAGATTCAGCTTCTTCTCAATGGCATGAAGCCAGTCGTGGGCCTCGATTGGGTTGGTGGTGCTTGAGAAAGTGGGCGGCTTGACACGAAGAAATTCTAACAGTTTGGACTGAGGAGGTGGAGGACCAAACTGCAGGTTCTGCTGCTGCTGCTGTGCTTGCTGCTGCACCTGCTGCAACACCTGATGGTACTGTTGCTGCATCTGTTGCATCATCATTGTCATCATCTGAGTCTGATTGTCCAACACCTGAGCAATTGTTGGGTTCTCGGGCGGTGGGGACGGACTGTTGTCAGATGCACTGTTGGCACGTGCTCCATTGATCGGCTCTTCGCTGCCACTGGCGTTGTTCGAGTCGCGTGAACCATTCCTTATCTCCATCTGAAGGAGATAGGTAGAAATATGAGAAAAGGAAGAAAAACAGGGGGCTCAGAAACTAATCTTTCTTATGAATTTAAGTGCAATTATCTTAATCTTGATTAAAACACTGAAAAAGAGGCACACAACTCCTAATTGAGGCAGTCATACCACTGACACATGATATCGACCGCCGACTAACCCACAAGCAACAAACCTAAACACGAAAACTAGCAAGCAAACAGACTAAGAAGGCGATAAAGCTAAGGGCGGCGACTCTGAAGCTCGGGGCGGCGCTTGCAAACGAGGGATAGGACTGACATCTAAAGTAGACAAGGGATAGGAACCAATTCATGCTCAAATCCAAATTAAACAAAGCAAAAGAAGACTCAAATAAATAACCGAGCATGATGATTTTATGCATAGAACAACATTTTTCACGAACCGAGACAAAAGACACTAATGCAACTGACTAAACAATAACTTAATGCATGAAATAGATGCATAGTCATACTGATACGCATAAACTTACCCCACCTGAACATAGACACGACCTAATGCATATCACCCGACAATTCCCGACCGACTGCCGAATAAATTCCGAATAAACTTTTACTAAATCCCTAGACTGTCCCAAGTCGAGAAATCCAATTAAATAAGCGACCAAGATTTTTCCCACAAATCAAAAGAACAAACCCCAAAATTTTCCCGAAACAAAATCCAAGTGCAAAAGGGCATATGCATAAGAAAAAAAAAGGGTTCAGAGGGCTCTTAGGTTTCCAGTTGGCTTGTCCTACGGTCAAGGTCGGCTCTGATACCAACTTGTCACACCCAGAAATTCTCGAACCAGAATTTCTAAGCTGAATGTGCATTAAATCCCTGTCCAGGACCAGCCAAGGCACACAAACGACAATTGTTGACATACAGACCCACGTCTTACAAAAATATAAAAGATTACAAATGCAGCGGGAAAGATTAAAGCGAGCTAAACCGGGAAGCTTGACTTCAGCAGCGGGCGACTCCACTCCACAGGCAAACCTTGACGGCAGCAACGAAACCAACCTCTCTGAGACGGCTCCAACTGAGAAGAACTTCAACTCTGGTGTGGGGGAAAAGAGAGCAAGACTGAGTACTACCCACTGTACTCAGCAAGTCATACCGGAAGATGAGGTATGATGCAGGATATAACCAAAGGAAGCTAGGGGTTCTTTTGCATAAAGCAGGCATTTCAAAGCAGTAGTTGAAAGCAGTAAAACAGCTGTAGTATACCCAAGTTATCAATGGCATAAGGTAACCAATATGTGGCTGAGGAATAGGACCCATCCCACATTACATTGTAAAAGAATGCAACATTTAATAGAAATGCAGGATGTTGGTAAATTGGGTACAATATGATCAAACGTATTGCATGACTTGCCTTGCTCTCGAACTGATGAGACCTCAGCAACGTCTTCGAGAAACCGCGGATCAACGAAACGGCCGAAACCTACGCGACAAACAAAGCACACAAGCAAAACATGCTATAAGACTACTGAAACAGGAAACAAAACCATTTTTAATGGATTCTTTGCATTTTTCTTGATTTACTGAGACTTGAATGGACTTAAACGGAGCTCGGATGAATTACTTATGAATTTTAGAAGATAAACTGTGTTTTTACTAATAAAGAAAAAGTCCTTAATTAATTATTGCGCAATAATACCCAGGGCTGACGTCATCCAGGGGGACGGTGGCGCCGACAGGCGGGGCCCATGGGTCAGCTTCTCAAAGGGGAGAGGAAGGGGGCGCCGGCACGTGGGCCCCACGGGTCAGCGGCTCCAAAAGGAGGGAGGTGGCGCCTAGCAGGTGGGCCCCACCGGGCGGTGGCTCAAAGGGGAGGCGAGGGAGGCGCCGGCCG